GCAACGTGACAACATCCACGCGAGCCCCCGACATGTGCGTGGATCCGCGCGGATATATGACGTCAGGATGGCGCAATTTTTTAGAAAAATTGTCCCATATCATTTAGAAAAATTGTCCCATATCATAGGTGCGCGCGGATCCCAAGACTTACGGTCTCCGTCCCCGATTATGGCTCCTGATCAGGGATATCTAAACTGAAGGTCTAACTTGACAAACAGCAATAAATTTGCCTAACGGTTTCTACGACGGCTCGTCTCACATTCCTGATCTTCCAACAGTATAAGATCGGGTTCAGAGTTGAATTCAAGGAAACAAGTGTTAACGAAAATGTCCAGGCCATAAAAAGGACTGCTGTCATTTCTTCAACTACTACTAACGCAGTAACTATACCCGCGGGAAGGTAGCACGTGACTAACGTCAACTGTACCCACAATGCAGTAGACACTGTTTTTCTGTATCGCGCTATGTTCAATGGCGCATGTCCGTTTTGTTGTCCTTGGTGAACATGTTCCTGTATTTGAGCTTGGTGATGAAAGAGCTTTCGATAGATCTTGATGTAACAGCAAGTTGAGATTACCACGCACAGCAAAACACTTATTAAGCTGTAATATTTAAGAAAATGATGCGTCCAAAACGATGTCACGGAAAAGGTGACGCACAGAGTCCAGAAACAGATCACTATCATTAGAACTCGTTTAAAAGTAACCACTTGTCTGTATCTTATGCCCAGTAACAAGGCGAGAAGTCTGTCCACGCTTATTGCGGTCAGCGTGAGCAAAGATAATACACAAAAACATATATCAATAAAAACACCAATGATAATAACTTGAGAGCAAATATTTTTGGTTCCGATCTCTAGGGATATTAAAAATGTGACAAAAAATGGCTCCACGAATAACCCAACGCACAAATCAGTGAGGGCCAGTGAACGTAACAAGATCTTGGAAGGTGGATGAAGCGAAGACTCCTTCGAAAAAGCAGCTAAGATCACAATATTACCTAACGTTGAAGAGATGGCGAGAAACATATTCGAGACTACTAGAAACCACAAAGCACTGGTTCCTTTTAAAGATGCCATACAAAGAAATGGAATTTCCTCATCGTCTATGTCTTTAGCCATGTTGTTTTTATAGCGCTAAACAATCTCCCCAAACGGTAAACAAGTTGAAGTACTCCGATTGCCGAAGTTTGAGGGACGCGGCTTCAAATATTCCCCAAACTACGAATAGCTTAGGCTATTACCATCACCAACACAATGCTTTTTCGTGGCTCATTTTAACATCCCTTGCGTCTGCACATATTTATTCAACACACCAAACATAATATAAAGTTGGGCGACAGGCTTTCATTGTTATAAATGCAATTTCTATCATTTGATTCAGTTTTCTCGTAACAATGCGCCAAGGAAATAAACATTATTATTGTTTGAATCACTGGCACTTTTAATTCATCATTTTTTCATTGTCTCTTGTCAGCTAATGAAATCGTTATGTCAATAATTGTTCCGCGATATGATTTTTTAATGAAGGCTGAGTGTATTTTAGTTTCTCAATGAAGGAAGTTTTTCGCAGACATTATTTTTCTTAGAAGAGCACGAAACTTTTCACATTCTTAAAATGAAAATTCACCACCTTTTGCTTAACCTTATAATCAAATCGATAGGGGGAAAAAACAGAACAAGAAACGTTAAAAGTATGTCTTAGAAAGGTAACACCTGTTCATGATGAAAAACATTTTAACAATGATGTAATAAATTCATTGTTCATCTGCATTTTCGTTTGATTCATGCCCAGAATTATAAACCATCTAGAAGCTTCGATCGCCTTGACTGGCTAACAAGCCAAGCTTATTGTCCACGTTTTATCATAGAGCACAGGGGGAAATGTCATGTCTGCCATACGTGCTTAGTTCGAATGATTAAGTTTTAATTTGACCAAGAGCATGTAAAAAAAATATGATTACTTGCCTCTTCCAGGTGATCAGTTAGTTGGGGCGCAGCGCGAAAAATTGCGCACAAAAAAAGAAAAGAGAGCTCGGCGCGGGAAAGCGAGAGAACACCTGTGAGGTGATTATTACATTCAGTAGCAGGAATCTTCCCAGCAATCCGAAACAGACGCCATAAAGCAAACAAAGCAAGATAAGAAATTAATTAAACGTCAATGAACTGACTTCGCTCCTTACGAAAGCTGACTTTTATATGAAATCCTCCGCTTAAGCCCAAGTGGTAGAAGTCGCATGCATTTCCGTTTGCGTTCGAGTCATCTTATATAAAGGTAATACACTAAGGTTAAGTAGAGCAGTAAGTAAACAAAATAAGTTAAATAAATATGACTTTATTGCATTTTTGAAACTGAACTGGGTTTATCATAAAGTCCATTATAACTACCGGTACGATCAATGAAAACTACGTGATTACCATGTCTGATAATTGTGTTGTCCTGTAAAGCTGAAATTCAGTTGACAATGCATAACAATGTAGTCAGTCGTTCAATTTCATCTTAATTTTGGTTCGATGAATAAACAAACTCACATGCAGACGGATTTAATTCAAATATACCACCAACACAAGCTGCTTCACCTGAGATTCTTGAATGCTGACAACAAACGTGTAAGATTGAATGGTGTTTCATGTAACAAGGTTTGCTATCTTGTTCTTTAAAAGACACTTTAATTTGCTGTGCGCAGATTCGTTCATCGTCCATCCTCGCCCGTAAAGACTCTTTGTAGCTTTCCGTGGTTCTTTCTGGGAATATTCATTTTGAAGCCGCATCACAAGAGCCTAGAGCTTAGCCTGATTTCTCACTATTTCGCGCAATCGTGAACATGGAAGGTTGGGTGAATATCATTTGCCAGGGACTGCTACATATGGGAAAGAATGCACTGAGGTTTCTCGAAGTTTTTCATATTCTTCTCGCCATCTCTTCAACGTTAGGTAACATTGTGATCTTAGCTGCTCTTTCCAAGGAGTCTTCCCTTCATGCACCTTCGAAGATCTTGTTACGTTCATTGGCGCTCACTGATTTCTTCGTCGGACTCCTCTTGGAGCCACTATTTGTCTCGGTTTTGATTACGATAGAAAACGAAAACTTGAATCCGCCTTGTGGCTCGATTAATTTAATTTCTAGTATTACAACTGAAGTGTTGTGTTTGGTATCTTTGCTCACACTGACTGCAATCAGCGTGGACAGACTTCTCGCCTTGTTACTGGGCATAAGATACAGACAAGTGGTTACCTTTAAGCGGGCTCTAATGATTGTGATAGGTCTTTGGACTCTGACTGTCGCCTTTGCTTTCATGATGTTCTGGAAGGAAAATGCAAACTTATATTATGTCACTATAGTTACTCTGTTAAGTATAGTGGTTTCAACTTGTTGTTATGTTACGATTTATCAGAAACTCCTTCGTCATCAAGCTCAAGTACAAGAGCACGTTCACCAAGGACAACAAAACGGACATGCTCAATTAAACATAGCGCGATACAGAAAAACAGTGTTCAGTGCATTGTGGGTACAGTTTTCAGTACTTGTATGCTACCTTCCCATGGGAATAGTAACGACTTTAGTAATCATTAGAGGACCGAATCCATCATTAGTTGTCGCGTGGATTCTTTCAGCAACATTGACGTTGTTAAACTCAACTCTGAACCCGATCTTATACTGCTGGAGGATTGCAGGCGTGAGACGAGCTGTTATAGACACTATTAGACCAATATTTTGCTGTTTATCCGATTAGAGCTTTGATCTTCACAAAGTTAGAACAGGAAGGAGATGGTGACTGCGTGGAATTGTTTAGCGCCTTTTTAATTCTTTTGAGTGTATAAAAATTAAAAATGGCAGGTGGACGGGACTTAAGAGAGATGTGCGGTTGCCGGAGAAGTCTAACAGCGTCTTTACGATTCCACACGTAGCTACTTAAGCCACTTAAGTTTAAACGTAACTGTCTAGTAGACCAAACATTTCTCAATTCTTGGGAAAGATTATTACTCCTGTTACATTTGTGTCCAGTGTCTTAGGCATAGAGGCGAGTTAAACTTCTATCGGTTTATCAGATAGTATTCTGCGTGGTGTGGAGTGGACACGTTTGTGCATCGTTTTCTGGGGTCATTTCTCATGTTTATTAAAAGCAAATTCAAGTGTGAACGCAACTAGAATGTGACGAATATTATTTAGCGTGGCCTACGTTTTCGAATTTAATACGCTATCATTTCGAGACAACGACTGGAACACGTGTTTCCAGGGCGTAGAGTTCATTTTTCATGGAGTACGCACCAAAGAGAAAGTTAAGGTCATTCCTCACATTTGCATTGCGCATCCTTACTGCGCATAATGCAATGCCTCACTGCTCCTTAATGAGCATGGGCACCCCCCTTTTTTATTTCAAAATTGAAGTTATCATATGACAAATATTCAGTGGACAAAGTTTGAACAAAAATCTATTGTCACTTTTATTTCAGAGGAATTACCGTAATCGAGCCCGGAAGGTGCGAGCCGCCAGGGTGTTTTGGGGACATGCCCCATCGGCTCCAAAATACCATTTACCGCGCTTTTTAGGGTACTTCAAGAATTTAAAAACTTATGTTGTTTATATGTCAACCTCTGGGATAATTGTTAGTAGACTAGAGGCTGTCAAACCAGTTGATTTGATCAGTTAAACACGCTTTTCGCCTATAAATATGTAATTTTTTCTGGATTTCCGGAGCTACGCAAGTGCGTACGTGCGCCACAAGGCCTTGAGTTGTTTATACAGTAAAATAGTTCATTTTCGTACTGTCCATTTATTCGATTATTTCTTCATAACTGTCACAATACAGTATCGGAGCGGAATCATATCTCTCAGAATTAGAGTGGAATGAGAAGTGTCATTTGATTTCATATCATTGTTTCATCTTAATCTTAGAACATGGAATTGGAGTCAAATCATATGTTTCATCTTAATTGTCATAACCTAGAATTAGAATGAAATCATATGTTTTATTTTAATTCTTACTGATATAGGGCTAGAGTGAAATCATATGTATCATTTAGTTCCTACAAGCACAGTGCTAGAGCGGAATCGCATTGTTTTAATCTTGATTTTTATCAGAATTTCTACTCATACAGAATGATAGTAAAATGACAAGTTCCACACAATTAGAGCAAATCGCATGTTTCATTATAAATCTTAAAAATAAAGAATTAGAGCGAAATCATGTGTTTGTTCTTTTATTCCTGAAAATGCAGAATTAGAGTGGAATCATGACTCTTTCATGCTAATCTTTACAGAGCAATCGGATGATTCATAATAAATCTTACAAATACAGAATTAGAGCGAAATCATGTTTTTCAAGAATTAAAATTTTTGCAAATACAGAATTTGAGGCAATTTACAAATGTTTTAAGGGACCGCAAACGAAAATCTTGCTGGTGTACGCAGGATCTGTAAAAGATTTGATTAGCCAACAATAGAAGTAGAATGACAATGAAGCAAGGCTGATAGTGTTTGAGGGAATCATTACGATTCTTAAAAATACATAATTAGTACCGAATTACTCATCTTTTATCGTGTTCTTTTGGGAAACAAGAAATATAAGTGATAGAAACCGACGTTTCGGTGCATCTTGCGCCATTATCAACGCTACATAATTAAAGATAAAAAGCGGTTTGTGATGAGGCTAAGTTGAAGCGAATTTGCATAAGAGTGTCAAGCTAATTACATGGCTTGATGCTAAGCTTAAGCCTCTGTCGGTAAATAAACATACCATCACTGATATCTTTGCCTTCACAAATGAAATTTGTGGAGATAAACCCGGGAGAAATCTTGGTCTCTTATGACGTCTCATCGCTCTTCACAAATGTACCCTTAGACGAAACAATTGACATCCTGGCACGCAAAGCTTTCGAGAACAACTGATTCAATGACACCTATGATCTAAACTTGGCCAGATCTAATCTCGTTGATCTTCTACACGTTGCTACAAAGGGGCAGCTGTTTCAGTTTGATGGGGGTCTATACGGACAGACTGATGGAGTAGCTATGGGGTCTCCCCTTGGACCCCTTTTGGCTAATGTATTCATGTGCTCTATTGAAGAGT